TAATCTCTAACCTAATCTGCAATTTTTAAAAAATGCGGTTCCGTAATGCTTGGAATGTTGGACTCTTGAATAAATTGTATATTTCATGAATTGGTACTCCTGTTTTTATGAATTTTCCTAAATTTCACTGCTTAGGTTGGGTTATCATTAGCAAAGTTTTCTATGTTGGAATTTAATCTAAACTTAGAAACCGTAGTTGTTTTCCCACTACCTTCAAGTTTTTTCTCTTCTGTGAGGAGTTGAAAGGTTTGGCCCAGTTTTGAAAACAAGCAAACCTCATGCTCATAATCAATAACTTGATATCATGTATCTTACTAAGACAAACGCAATATATGTTTGTTTGTTTGTCTTCCTTTTTTCTGAAGCTGTGCAGTTTCTTTATTTCTGATATCATGAAGCTGTGCAGTTTCTTTATTAGTTTGTCTTCCTTTTTCTATTAGGGGTTGATTGGAAGGGCTAAAGCCCCCTGTACTAACAGAAATATTTTCTTTTTTCCCAAAAAAACGGAAAACTGGAGATAGAAAAATTAGAAACCTGTTTACCTCACTGTTTCCAAAAAAAATTGAAACATATCTCGGTTTTTTATTCTGAAATGGAGAAGCCACTTATGCGCGTTTTCCGAAATTAGAAAACATGGTGCTACAGTGCCCGAGTCCTCAATGTTCACATACCCTCCTCCTCTACCGTCTTTACTTCGCCAACTCCCTCGCTATCATCTTTACTTCTTTGCCATCTCCTTCACATCGTTCTTAAATATCACTGCCATTCAACACTCCTCAAACAACAGTTCACTTCCCAGACTCCTCAAAATTGGTTTGCCGCTATCGCTGCTAGGAGCTCCACCTAGACATCACGGAATCTCCCAAGTCTTCAGTCGGCTCTTGCTCTGTCAACGAGTTCAAGGTAACCTATCAATTTCAGAAATTAATTTGTGTTAGAGAAGTTGCAGACAGCCCTTGTTTCAAAATCTTCCAGAAACGATAAAGCCCTTGCATAAAGCCCTTGTTTCAGAAATTTCAGAAGCTTTAAAAAGGCTCCAGTGAGCCCTCCATGGGTGCTTTAAAGAAATTTTGAAAATAATAATTAAAACCTAAGGGTAATTTGTTTAAACAATTGCTTGAGTAAATAGATTTTCAGCTATTTTGAATGAATGATGATACTAAATTCGTTTTTCATCTGTTAATGTTCTATGACTATTGAGAATTAATGTAATTTAGGGAAATACGATTCAAGATTGACAATAACAAGAAAAAGCTACACCTTTCCCACATAAGTTTATATATCAGATTTGGTGATTATTTAGTAGAACCTGATTGACCTTTTTTGTTATAACATGACAGCCTAAGTAGCACCGAGACGGAAACGGAAACGGAAACGGAAACGGAAACGGAAACGGAAACGGAAACGGAAACGGAAACGGGGACGGGGAAACTCTAAACTCAAAATATTAAGATACGGGTACGGCAAGGAAACGTCGAACTAAAATTATATAGGTCATGTTTATGTCCAAGAAATAGAAATAAATAAATCAAACATATTCCTTGTTAGAATCCATTCTACGTGCATAAAATAAAATGAAAACAGTAAATGTTCCATATTACAAGATTAAAAGCACAAATCACTTGCTGAAGTTACTGTGGCAGCAATTTAATACTTTAGGTCTGTCGCAACAAATAAATTAAAGCTCACTGCCTCAAAAATAAGCACTAAAGAATAGACAGTTCTACTCTTCCAGTCCAATACCAGCCCCTGTGTCTAGCGTTTAGGTTCGTCGTCGGCGTCTTCAACTCCTCCAGCCTTAGAGTCCAACGCAGACGATCTGACTTTGTTGTTCCAGACTTCCAGTCGACTGGTGACAGGGACTCACAACTCTTCAAGCCTTCGTTTTCGAGTGGGGATTGAGGAATCACACCGAAGGATTGTGACGACCTTCGTTTGGGGATAGAGTGTGGCAGATTGGACGAAGGTTTGTTTTACAATTCAGAAAGTCAGAAATGCGTCGGTTGAATTAAAAAAACGTTTCGGAAACGTTTCCCCAACCCGTCCCAAAAGCCCAATAGCCCAGAAACGTTTCCCTACGTTTCCCCGGTGTTTCCTGCTGTTTCCAGGTGTTTCCCGTTTCTGAAACGTTTCCGGTACGGAAACTGGAAGGAGATCGGCGTTTCCGTGCTTCCTAGATGACAGCTTATTTGAGCATTTTCTTTTAATTTGTGATGATGGTGAATGCAAACATTTTTTATGCGAACGGCTCAAAGCTCAAAACGGACAACTTTTTAATTGTGAACAAATCTGAAATTCCTTTTCTGTCTTCATTCTTTTATATTGTTTGCTGTGTTTCATCGTGTGGAAAACAAATATTTGTGTGCATTTTCATTTCTAGTAAATACTAGTAATAATCTTTAGTCTGAAATATATGTCAAGATATACACCACCCTTCAGAACGTTTTGTAAAAAAAAAACCTCCATCTGAATGGGCTCTCAACTGGTCAGTTTAGTAATTAACATGTTTCAAGCATTTTGCTTTCTTAACAAAAGTTAATATGTCTTCATAAGGGAACATTTGTTTTGGAAGCAAAAAATTTGGTCCATAGTAGATTGGATTTGTTAGCAGTTAGTAGATTAGATTTGTTAGCAGTCCATCATATGCAGTTTGTAAAAAACAAGTCAAGCCCCTGTTTTGTTAACAAGGTTTGCTTTTGGGATTATTGTACTGAACTTTTTCTTCACTTAGTTCATTTGCGGCCAACAATAGTGAGCCCTGAGGGCTGTAAAAACTATCTTATTGTGACTTAAATTAGTTGTTGTTTACTAGGCTTTTGTAGATGCTGCAAATTGAATATTGACTCGTATATGCTTGTTAGGATTGTACAAAAACATATCCTACCGCATTGTGTTTGGGGGTTCAATGGTATCTTTTTAACAAAACAACTTCGTTTTTTGATAAAATTAGCTAAACATCTGGTCTTTTTATTATTATTTTAAAAAATGAGTAGAAGGAGATGGATTAGGAATATGATGAGGCTATGGATAGTTACTTTTGTGTCCATTAAGGTGCCTTGTGAACAGATGTAAGTAACTATTTTTAATACTACGTATTAATAGATTAAATAACCCTTTTTCCTTTGATTGTATTCGAAAATGTAGTAAGAGACTAGAGTAATATGAAGCAACTATTTTTGTAATTGTTATTTCAAATGTTTATAATTGTTACTTTCTTTTCCAAATATTAAGTCAACGTTTTCTGATAAAGAAGAAATGCAAAATTGAAAAACTCTAGTAATCATGTTTGCTGATTTGGAAAAAAAACTGGAAAACGATCACAAAAAACTGGAGACTTCAAAACAGAAAACAGGCCCTAACTTATTCTATTATTTATATGTATATAATACTTTACTTGTGATTGAGGACTGCATTTTCTTCTATGTAGTGCAAAAAATATTAAGGTGTGTGTGATTACTTGTGAGTGAAAAGAGCAGTGAAATATGTGTAATGAACGGTCCTAATTTGTCAGCAGTATTAGAAGTTAGAACAACACACACATAAATCTGTGTTATCTGAAGAAAGTGGCTGCAGTCTTTCAATAGCTCCTCAACATTTTTTTGGTTAAATATTATGCATATTGAACATCGTAATTTTAGAAAAACATTTTCTAAAAGACAGTTTCTACAAATTCATTTCTGTAAATCAAAAGGAGCATTCATATAAACTTGAGGAATTTGTTTGGTTCTAAACCTGACAAACTTATTTATGAGTTTATATCTTTGTATTTGATGGGTATGAGTTGGTTGGACAAAATCAGTTTTATAAATGGTAATCTATAAAATATATAACCATGTAACAATGAAAGGAATTTTGTTGATATGATGATCTCCAATTTTTTGTTTGTTTACGCAATGCTTACTTCTGGTTGCTTTTAGAGAGATTTTACTTGCTTAGATTGGGAGCTATTTTAAAATAAGCTTTAAACAGAGCTAGTATAAACGGAGTATTAAGCGTACTTACGTGGTTTCCTATTATATACCTACGTGCTCTCTAATGAGCACGTCACGGGTATTCTAAAATTTCTGGAATTCTAGTATTCGTACAAAAATATCTTCAAAATAACCCATTATTGTTTTTAATTCTCACATTATTTCCGTTTCTATGAAGCAGATTGCAAGCTATGGTTTCCCCTGGTTTTCCTTTTCATCCAAATTTGTGAAATTGGTCAACTGTCATATGCAATCCTAACTGACGGTGGCATGGCTACTTTGTGCTGTGGTGGAGGACAATGAAAATCTTGCACAGACTGCTTGTGATCGGAAAGTCAACCTCTAAGTCTGCAATCCCATTTGGGCCGTTCAATTTTGCCACCCAAACCCGATGGATGAAGCCTGCGAACACTGCTCAAACCCATGGTTTCAAATTGCGGACCGCAACCGCAATTGCGGCCGCAATATTGCGGTTGCAGAGGGCACCGCAACCGCATCAGCCCGCAACACCCTTATGATTTGGAATCACGGCCAAAACCGCAACGTAACCGCGACGAAACCGCAACGTAACCGCGACGGTGCAGCAACATCTCGCAATAGACCGCAATCGACCGCGACGTGCCGCAACAGACCGCAACGCATCCGCCTGTCCATCATTCTTTCTGGTGTGAACTTGAAAATAATTCACGCCGCAGCGGCCGCATTAGCCGCAACCGCAACGACCGCAACGACCGCAACCGCAACCGCGACCGCAACCGCAATTTAAAACCATGACTCAAACCCGACTTGAGAACCGCACCAGGGACTTGAAGCTTGACCGCCTCACTGCTAACCGCCGCCGCCTCAATCTCATTCTCAACCTCCACCGCCTGGTCTCCACCAGAAAATGGGGTCCCTTCATCGCCATACAGTCCCTGTCCAAGTTGGCGCCACAGGCCGGCATCAAAACTCTACTGGCGGGAGCTTTCATTAGGAAATACCCTCATATTTTTGAGGTATTTACGCACCCTGCCTATCATAACCGATGTTTCAGGTTTACCCAGAAATTCACTGCCCTAATAAGAGAAGAACAGGTCATGATCGCTCAACTCGAACAAGACTCTGTCACTCGAATAAAAAAACTCTTACTCATGTCTGTGAACGGCACCCTTCATTTGCATTCCCTCAGATTAATTAGAGATGAATTAGGGTTACCTGAAAATTGCCGAGAATCAATAATCAGGAAGTATAACACCGATTTCAAAATGGTGGATCTAGAAGTTGTGGAATTGGCTGTTAAGGAATGTGAAAGACCATCTATGGTGGCCGAGGTCGAAAAGTGGCGGGAAAAAGAGTATACAGAGAGGTGGTTAAGTGAATTTGAGGTCAAATATTCATTCCCTATAAATTTCCCAACAGGATTCAGAAAAGGGGCACGGTTTAAAGACAAATTGAACAATTGGCAACGAATGTCATACATCAAGCCATATGAGAAAACGAACATCGTTAATGTTCGTAGTTGTGGAGGAGTAGAGAGGTATGAAAAGAGAGCTGTGGGAATCATTCACGAACTCCTCAGTTTAACCGTAGAGAAGATGGTTCGAGTTGAACGGTTAGCTCATTTTCGGAAGGATCTAGGAATCGAAGTGAATATCCGTGAGTTGCTTTTGAACCATCCTGGGATTTTTTACATATCTACAAAGGGGGATTCTCAAATGGTTTATCTGAGAGAAGCGTATGACAGTCAAGGTTGTTTGATTGAGCCAAACAAAATTTACAATGTTAGAAGAAAGTTGTTGGAGGTAATCTTAATGGGAAGCCGAAATACTAGAGGATTGAACTTGGAAAGGGAAGTACAGGAGAAAGAAACAAGGATTGTCAAAGGGAATGAAAACAAAAGTAGCAAGGTAGATGGTGACTTTGTCATTCCAATTCTAGAGAAGTGTTGATTATAAATTGATCAATTGATAAATTAGTAATCTAAAGAGGTATTGATGTATTTAGTTATTCTACAAGAACTAATTCATCTGTCTTATTTTTTATTTATCTATTGCTTAAGTAAGTTTACTGTGTTTCTTCTTCCTCTTCATTTTCACTCTAAGCTCAAATGTACCATTCACTATGTTTTGGAGTTGGATATGAAAAATTTAAAACAATATACATTGTGCACTTGTGCAGACTTATTTAATACGGAGTGATATACATTGATTAAACGGCTTAATTTTTAAAATTTTAGGAAAATGTTTTCGAGAAAAATTATTTTGCACAAACTTGTTTCTTGAAATTAAAGGAGCCTTCGTGTAAACTTGAGCAATTTAGTAATGACATACGTAGTACGGAGACGAGTAATATACAATAATACAAGTGAAAACTTGTTTACACGAAGTCACGAAGGGTGTATCATATACCAGTACACAGCAGAGAAATATATCCGAGAAAACTTGAATTGTTTACTTGGCATTTTGACACAGGGGCGTTTAGAAATGACATTTCAGTAAAAAAAAAAGTTAAAAAATAAGGGTTTGACTTATTTTAGCATTTTTAACAAGTGAAAACGTTGTTTGCTTGGTATATAGTTGTTCGGTCCTAACGTTTTTTAACGAAACCGCTAAAATGGAAACACTGCAAATAGAAGATTTCTGAGATAGCGTTTTGAAATATGACATTTCTACTAATTGTTATGACCAAATAGTTCAATTATCAAACATCTTTTGACAACCCGTTAACACAATCCCCCAGAGGTAGGCACAGTCCGGGATGGTCCAATATTTTGCTGAACTTGTGCTCGTACCGTGACTATTAAAAGGTCCAGTTCGGTTCGGTCTTAGATCTAACCACGTTCGATATGGTTCCATTTTCAAACTAGGTGGTACAGTGTCATATCAATACAAAACAATGTCACTTTTTCAATTGTTTATGGGGAATTAAAGTTTAGTCATCCTCCAAAAATTCACACAATCTATCAATTTTCATATTTCATCATTAATAAATTTCAGATAAATTATAGAAGTATGAAACATAAATCAACAAAACATTAATTTGAGATGTACAAAACATAAATGACAAAACTTAAATCCACATAGTGATACGCATGTACGAAATCATACTTTGCTCCGGTTTAGAGGAATGTTCTCATTTTATGAAAACCAGTGATGGCGTCATTTGGAGTTGATACAGTCCGCTTCGGGATAAAAAATTTGATATCCGTTTGAAATCTCATTGTTAGATTCAGTATCAGTACCATACCAGTTTGGTACTATACTGATTCAATATTTGTATCAAACACGCCCAATATAGATTCAAAACTCTAATTTTCAAAATTTTATTCTGTCCAAAGTTCAGGTACATATGAATTTAAAGAATCTGGAATAAAAGAAAACCTCGAATCCACCCAAACACTTATCCTTCGAGTCCTTCGACCATCTCCCGACCATTCACAACCTCAAGCCATCGCCTGCGCCGAGTCGCCACACACGCAAGCCGTCGTCTGCATCTTTGTCTCTTCCGCCGACATAAGCTCAGCTCAAAATCTGCGCTACTTCGCTAGGTCTTGAGGTTAGTTTCCTTTTTAGTTGCTACTTTTATAGATAATTAATCAGCAACCTTTTCATACGAATCATATTATTTTCATCTGATTAGTATGAATAATGGGGTAATTGGGCTTAATCATTATTAGTTCTACATCGTATTATTAGTTCTACATTGTGGTGCACTTCGTCAAGTTTTTAAATTTCACTGTTAGGCATTAATCTCATTAGTTAAATGACCTCAAAATCTTTTGGGATTGAGGTTTGGATCTTGTTTTTGTTGTAGTATTAATCTCGTTAGTATTAATAAGATTGCAATTTGTGATTAGTGAGTATTAATTCCATTATTCATCTATTCGTCCATGAGTCCATCCCATCCATCCATCCATCCCAATATCCTATTAGTTAGGGTATGTATTAATCCCACTGTTTTTTACTTTGGTATTGATTCTCCCTGTTGCAATCTCTAGTGTTCAAGGGGTTATTTTTTTGTATAATGGATAGATTGAACAGTCAAATGAAAATGAGTGCTGACTGACTGAATGATAGGCTTCTTGTTTATGTAGAAAAAGACATCTGATTCAAAATTGTCAATAATGTGATTATCAAGTCATATCAGTCTATGAAAACCCGTAGAGAACAATTATGAATTTGGATTATAATTCTCATTCTTGTAGAAAATTTGAAATACCAGAAAACTAAGAAAAGGTTTGATTTTTATTTACCTTTTAGTGAAATTGAAGTTATTTTTATATATTACTACATCCGTCCCACTAAGATTGACAATAACAAGAAAAGCTACACCATTCCCACATAAGTTTATATATCAGATTTGGTGATTATTTAGTAGGACCTGATTGACCTTTTTTGTTATAACATGACATCTTATTTGAGCATTTTCTTTTAATTTGTGATGATGGTGAATGCAAACATTTTTTATGGGAATGACTCAAAGCTCAAAACGGACAACTTTTTAATTGTGAACAAATCTGAAATTCCTTTTCTGTCTTCATTCTTTTATATTGTTTGCTGTGTTTCATCGTGTGGAAACAAATATTTGTGTGCATTTTCATTTCTAGTAAATACTAGTAATAATCTTTAGTCTGAAATATATGTCAAGATATACACCACCCTTCAGAACGTTTTGTAAAAAAAACCTCCATCTGAATGGGCTCTCAACCGGTCAGTTTAGTAATTAACATGTTTCAAGCATTTTGCTTTCTTAACTAAAGTTAATATGTCTTCATAAGGGAAGATTTGTTTTGGAAGCAAAAAATTTGGTCCATAGTAGATTGGATTTGTTAGCAGTTAGTAGATTAGATTTGTTAGCATTATGCAGTTTGTAAAAAACATGTCAAGCCCCTGTTTTGTTAACAAGGTTTGCTTTTGGGATTATTGTACTGAACTTTTTCTTCACTTAGTTCATTTGCGGCCAACAATAGTGAGCCCCGAGGGCGGTAAAAACTATCTTATTGTGACTTAAATTAGTTGTTGTTTACTAGGCTTTTGTAGATGCTGCAAATTGAATATTGACTCGTATATGCTTGTTAGGATTGTACAAAAACATATCCTACCGCATTGTGTTTGGGGGTTCAATGGTATCTTTTTAACAAAACAACTTCGTTTTTTGATAAAATTAGCTAAACATCTAGTCTTTTTATTATTATTTTAAAAAATGAGTAGAAGGAGATGGATTAGGAATATGATGAGGCTATGGATAGTTACTTTTGTGTCCAATAAGGTGCCTTGTGAACAGATGTAAGTAACTATTTTTAATACTACGTATTATTAGATTAAATAACCCTTTTTCCTTTGATTGTATTCGAAAATGTAGTAAGAGACTAGAGTAATATGAAGCAACTATTTTGTCATTGTTATTTCAAATGTTTATAATTGTTACTTTCTTTTCCAAATATTAAGTCAACGTTTTCTGATAAAGAAGAAATGCAAAATTGAAAAACTCTAGTAATCATGTTTGCTGATTTGGAAAACAAAAAAACTGGAAAACGATCACAAAAAACTGGAGACTTCAAAACAGAAAACTGTGTCTGTTAGTAAACAGGCCCTAACTTATTCCATTATCTATCATTATATAAAAGCAAAATGTTTTTGGGAATAGTGTTCCCCCCAAATTCTTTAGGAAAGGAAGTGCATGACTGAAAATTACAAAAATATCCCTGCTCAAAGTAAAGGTACATGATTAAAAGTTATGGAGTACACATGATTTAAAGTAGAAAGTTGAATGGTACAAATCATTTACAGTAAAGCAAGATGGATCAAAATCACGCCAGCCTGTTTCTTGGGATATGTGTGCACGCTTACTTTAGCCAAGCTGTCCTTGGGACACGTGAAACTTCTTTGGGAAGGATGGTTCATTTTTTCCTATATATACTAGGAACCTCCTTTCAAGTGAACACACCCTCAATCCTTCTGCCTCTTTTCTTTCTCTTCACGTTTTGATCCTACGAGCAAGAACATCATCCCTAAATAAGTGTGCGAGTATACATCAAATAGAAGTTTTTCTTTTGTTAATAAGAAATGGTAAGTGTGCAAGCTTGAACTACCAACAGTAGAAACTTAAACTTCAACTACCGGCAGAAAAGCAAATGAGAATGCAAATCTAGAAGAGCAAGCAAAGTCCAGACTTCCTACAGTTTCTTGATGACTATCTCAGAAAGAAGCACGCACCTACTCAGCAATGGGTCTCTAATCAAAATTTGATATTCATGCAAAAACCAAATAGAAGGCTTCTTTTCTAAACTCATTTTTTATTTACACAAACTAAATGAGGGAATTTTATTTCAGCTTCATAGAAAATAAAAAATTGATAAAGAGATCACCAGCACTATGTAAAACAAATAGAAGGCTTCTTTTCTAAACTCATTTTTTTATTTACACAAACTAAATGAGGGGAATTTTATTTCAGCTTCATAGAAAATAAAAAATTGATAAAGAGATCACCAGCACTATGTAAAACAAATTATTTTGTGTTTTGGTTTGTACATGATTC